TTCAAAATCCATTATCATTTACCGCTTGTGGTTTTTTTAATCTCGACCATTTATTGATAAACAACGTAAGTTACAAATATTTTCGTTTTATAAGTTATTAAAAAATAAACTTACATTCATTATTTTATTAATTTTTTTAGATAATTAATATCATCATAACTTATTTGGTTATTCTCATACAAATTGGTAATGTACCGTCTAATATCTTTAATCAAAATTCAACATTATCAATAAATAATTCATCTGTCATTTAAATATAAAAAAAAAATATAAAAAATTTATATGCATATTAAATAATAAACTATAATAATAAATTAAAAGATAAAGTGAAAATAATATCTCATAATATTGCAATAAATTAAATTGCTACATTTTTAATATTAAATATTAAACATTTAATATTAATGATATATATGAAAAAAATATAGTAAAAGATAAGAAAATTAAATAGATAAGAAAAATAAAGAGATAACATTTGTCCTAAGTATATTTGTATTCATTTTTATTTAATAAAAATGTAATACCCATAAGTGGATATGGTCTGTCTCTTAACAATTGAATGACAACCCAAAACAAATAAAAAAAAATTCTGAACACTTTCTAACGTTATCATAATAATAATATTCAATACTAATGTAATAACATATTATAAATGCAAGTAAGCAACGTAGTTTTGTGAACATTCGTAGTTTTACAGTAAAACATTAAACACATTTAATAGTGCTATCAATTCGTTTAATTTTTTTTGTTTAATAATATCAAGTTTAAATTATTATTTAATATTCAAATTAACATTTTTTTGATCAATCAAAGTTTAAATTATTCAATTAATTCAATAATTATTATTAAAATGTTTATATCGGAAGAATTTCAACGTAGTATCAGACCATTGATAATATTCAATTCAATTTTTACAACAGGTTTAATAGAATATTATTACAATGATAAAATTACGGCGATTGGTATAATTTATGGATTATTTAACTTAATTTTTTATTTTGTGATAATATCTTCGTTTCCATTTTCTTGGAAATATTTACAAGAAAATTTACCAATTGTATTGCTTCTAACATACAAACTGTACAATATTAACGAAATTATATTTATAATTTCTACTATTATTGGTGGATTCTATAGAAGAAAGGTGAAATATTTTCTATTTAATTTTTTCATAAATATTCAATTAATATATTTGTTTGTTTAAATAGAAGGTGAAACGTTTCATGTTACAATTGGAAACGTGTATTCGTAATATGAAACAATTGAACGTACCAATGAATTTTTCCAAATTTTTTCTACAACAATATTTCCTCATATTATTTTCCATTTTAATTGCATTTCTGATAGTAATGATGAGTTATCGTTGGTTATTACAACCGAATATTAATATTCAAGAAGTGCTTATTTTTATTTATATAGAACGTTATCCATTTTTTACAATTTACATCGTGGATATTACTTTTATGTTTTGGATGAGGCAAGTATAAAACTTATTCAATAATTTTTCGTTCAATCTTTTAACAAATCTTGTATATATTCGACAGCTATATCAAAATTAAATTTAATCAATTGAATTTATTATTAAAAAATATGTTAACAACAAATATCGATTTGCCACAACATAAAAGAATCTTTGAAATTTGGAATAACGTGATGAATAATGATTCAAGTGCATCTGATTTTCATAAAGAGTATAAATCAAAGAAAAATATTGTAAAAATACAAAAAATTCGGTAATTCCAATTAATTACTAAATTCTATTAATGTATTATTATAATTTATAATTTAATATCAATTTATAATTATAATTTATAGTTTAATATTAACAAAATAAATTAAATTTAATATTAATTTTTAATTATATAATTTATTATTTTTAAAATATTAAACTAAATATAAAATTCTACGAATTTATTATTATCATTTATAATTTAATATTAACAAAATAAATTAAATTTAATATTAATTTTTAATTGTAATTTATTATTTTTTTAATATTAAACTAAATAATATATTTTAAATTTTGTTTTAAAGAGAAATACATCTGGAATTAATAAAATGTGCAAAGAATATAAACAATGCATACGGATTGCATCTTTTAGTATCAGTATCAACAGGTTTTGTATTACTCGTAGCAGTTTCATATAATATGTACAATTTTATCAAATCTGAAGATTATCAGAATATTTTACAATTACGTAATTTTGTATATTGGAATTTACACAATGGATTAAAAATTGTCATGTTATGTTACGTGTGTGCATCGGCTGCAACCGAGGTACCTATTTTACTTTAAATATTTCTTATCTTTGTTTTTCTTACGATTTATTATAAACATCATATCTGAATAGTTTTCACGAAAGATTTTCGATAAAATAAAATCATTATTTTTTCTATCGTTTTTATTCTATTTTTTGTTTACTTACATGCAACAAATACGGGAGATATTCTTTGCGAATTGTACGAACCGTCAACCAGCATGGAATTTCGTTTAGAGGTAATAATTCATTATTGAATATTATTACGAATAATCTATTTGAATTAGTTTACGATACGTTTTGTGTGTGTTTATGTGTGCTTGTTTTTTTTTTCTTTAAGGTTTACAACTTCACATTGCAACTCGTTCAAAATCCATTGTCATTTACCGCTTGTGGTTTTTTCAATCTCGACAATAGATTGATTTATGGTGTAAGTTAAATTGATTTTGGCTTTTTTTTTTCATTCACATTTGAATGTTAGATGATAATTTAAATATTGCATATTCTTTTTTGTTTAATTTATAGTTAATCGCTAGCTGTACATCATATCTCGTTATTCTCATTCAAATTGGGGGTACACCACAGCAAATTTTCCATATCAATTCTACGGAATCAATTAATTAATTATTATTATATAGAATGTTTTAAAAAATTCTTTAATTTGTTTCACGTCAAATATTTCATGGCAATATTAAACAATTGTATTATTTTTTTTTTGTTTTTATATAAAAATTATGATCATAATAATTAAATTTGTATTATGATGTATTATATATAATATGTAATTAATTTTGGAAATTTATATTTATAATACAAATTTTACGCAATCAATTAATTAATTATTATTAAACAAAATGTTTAAAAAATTGTTTAATTTGTTGCACGTTAAATATTTTACAATATTAGACACTTGTGTATTTTTGTTTTTATATCAAAATTATGATCAGAATAATTAAATTTGTATTATCATGAATTATATATCAATTGTAATTAATTTTGGAAATTCATATTTAAAATACAATTTTTAATACAATTTTTAATAATAATTGATTATATTATTGATAATATTTTTTGTGTGTTTTTTTTTATTTGTCACAAAATGTTTATCACAATATTTAATTTTTTTATTATTATATCTAGTAAATTTCACATGTATAATAAATCATATGTAAAATGTAAATATCATATGTAGAAATGTAAATTTAAAATGTAAATTTTATTACAATTTTTTAATAATTTTTATTATTGATAATATTTTTTTATTTTT